CACATGCTTGTTTTAGCATTATTTATAATAATAAAAAATTTAAAACAACCTTAAATGTCTAATATTACGGGACGATTTTAATTTGAATTCATACAACTGAATAGTATGAAATTATCAAAATGCTGTTTACAAAGCACTTGTAAAAGACATGGAAAAGCGTATATGATATAATCTAAAGTGAAAAAAGCAGCATTCGGAAAAATATATATTTATAGTACATATATGCATACACCCATACATATACATGTATGTATGTATTTCTTGACTGATCTTGGTGGGAGGGTCCCACTTACTGTTGTCTCGGTGCAGTTGTTGGTCATCTTGGGCACCAGGCAGTGAGTGAATTGGATTCTCGGGTCTTTGGTGGTGATGGACAGGCCTTTCTGCAGAATTTTCACCAGGCGCATCCAGAATTGAAAGACGGCCTCTGGGTGTTTTTTGTGGAGCCTCAGGTAGTAGATCTTTTCCGTCACTGTCCTAACCCTCAGGATGCGCTGGAGCCGGTCACAGATTCGTAGCTCCACGTACTTCAGGGGGAGAATCCTGGGCATAATCAGGAAATTTCCATAGCGGAGCCCTCGACTTTAATCAACCTTATGGGTGCCCACCCCGATCTTGGTCTCCCACCTCTGATCGGGGGATGGCAAAGGGAGAAAGCTCGTGTTCTACGACTGACTCTCTGATTTCCAGGACTTTAGTTGTTGAGGAATCTGCCCACTTTAGTAACAACGGCTGATACTGATGTATAATATCTCATGTAATTCTCACACAACCCTTTCATGAAGGAAAGATAAGTATTATTAATTCCACTTTACAGATTTTGAAGCTGAGGCTCAGAGAACCAAGTGACTTGTCTAAGTTTAGATCTCACTAAGCAGGAACTGGAACTGAGGTGTCCTGCCTGCGTTTCTAGGCCTCCTCCTCCCTGTGTCCTGATTCGCTGTGTGGAGGGGGAAGGAGAAGAATCGGCATCTTCCATTGGTGCAGTATTCTTTCTCAGTCTTAACACCTCAAAGCCCTATTTGACTTTACATCCCCACTTTTTCTTTGGAAACCCCCTACATCTATATTGACAAAATAAAAGCACACAAAACCTTCTCAGTCTATCAGTTCTACATGAAAAAAAAAGTACATAAAAGCCAAGATCCTCAAAAACTAGGCTTGACACAGGGATTGTGCACTGCGCTGTCCCAGCATGAAGCACAGTGCCGGGTACCTAGAGATATTAAATGAGCATTTGTTAAAGGAATGAATGAATGAATTCTGCATCGTTTATACACTAAAGAACACAATCCCTTCTTTTGATCTAAATCCAGCTGTCGTCTTAACACCATGCATATGCCAGTCAATCGGCCTACCCCTTCTGATCCCTCCCTCAAGTTTTTCTTTACCTGCGGAGTGTGATGACAGGAGCATGACCGGGTGTGCTCTGGGTGGAAAACCGACTCCGGGGCCAGGTGACGTTGGCCATCAGGAGGACGTTGGGGAGTGGCAGGCAGGGCACTGAGGAGGTCACCCCAAGGATCATGGTGGTAGATCCTTCGCAGACATCCATCCAGTTCCCGGGCTCAGTGACCTGGAAATCAGCCCGAGGTACACAGGTCAGAAAGGAGCAGGAGACAAGGGGTGGAAAGGACGCAGGTGCTAGAAAGGGGCACTTCATCTTGGTGACAGGTGTGCAGCACACTGGGCTGGGCCCCAACTTGCTATCGATCCTTTTTGTTGGTCTCCGCGAATAAACTTTAAGCTCACTGGCAACAGGCACTCTGTGTTGCACCTCTTCGTGTCCTCTGTTTGATCTAATTGTGAAAAAATGCACCAGTAAGAAAAAGCTGAGTGGCCCTGAAATCTTTATTCCCTCACCCTTGGGTAGGAGAAGCCAGCACTGGTTGCTAATGGCCAAGACACGAGATTATGTGAAGAAAGTTCCAGAAGGAGAGGTAAGTGAGGAAAGAGCTATTGAATGGGGAAGATTCAGACAGCCCAAGTCGAGGAAGGATGAGGCACTTCCCCCAGGATGAGAGAGGGTCCGTCTTGTTACTGGGTCTTCAGTGGAGTAAGGACTGTTCTCTTGAAGCACCTGTGGGCTGTGGCAGGGCGGGAAGACTGGCTGCCTGGGCACTGGGCCCAGTGTCTTGGCTAAGACACCCCCCACCTCACTGTCTAAGGCTGCCAGGAAATCACCAGAGCTGTGGCTACCAAGGAGCCACAGGGACCAGGGTAAGGAACAGATGAGGAAAAACCCCTACGTTCCCAAAGCCAGAGCGCCTTTCCCAAGGTTCTAGACTTCGTGAGCCCATCGGCACCACCGCACAGCCCCTGGTGGAAGTGGGGACAGGGAAGTGCCCCAGGAATGATTGAAACTGAATTTCCTATCAGCCTGCCCAGTGGGTGCTCCACGAAAAGTAAATTTTGATTTAAAAAAAAAGTGACATTTGTTGGAGCCCATATTGCAGAATGAAATTCATATTCCCCACAAGTCATAGAGGGTTGCACACACTGAGAGAAAGCGCTCCGTGAATGTCTGTGGGCGATGCTGCTTTGAGGTGATGATGGTGACGGTGATGTGGAGGAGGGGGGAGGAAGCAGCGTGATCACACTGTGACTACAACAACTGTGACCGTGGGGGCTGCGTCGTCTCCAGCAAACTTTGAAATCTGCTGTGAGTCCGCCTCTCCCTGGCAGGCTCTGTGTTTCTTGCTGCCCGGGTCACTTAATATCCATTCAGAGAATCCAAACAGTTTTAACATTAGGCCAAAGAGAACATATTAAGAGAACAAACCTGCTGCCAAAACGTCACACCCAAATAGAAATGACTAGAAATTAGATCCGAGTCTGGATTTCTCATGATACTGCTCCTTCTCCACTAAGAATGTGTTAGGAATGACCGCGCCCCCAGGTTTGCCAGTTGACCACTCAATTACCAATTATGTACCCTCCTCCGCCCCTGCTGGAGGCAACACAGGGACCATGGAACACCAGGGGCCATGGATACAGCTCTCAGAAATCTGGGGACTCCATTAGACAGTAGCTCACTGCTCTGTGGAGATTTGGCAAATTAAGCCCAAGACCCACCTTGAATTGTTCCCACCTCTCTCCAATTCCTCACTGCTTTTCCACTCCGTTCGAATGGATTCTTGTCTGCAGACCTCTCTGTGCATTCCAGGCCCCCTTCCTTTCTGTACTCAGGTACTTTGAAGTCCCTCTGTCTGGGATATCCTCGCCCCCCACTCCCCACCAACTCTTCCACTTTCTAGCATCTCAGCAATGCCTCAGAGAATGGCTTAAGACACTTCTGGAAAGCCTTCAACTGCTAACGTCCAGAGAGAATGCTCTGAATGCCCCAGCAGCCGCTCTCTGTGCTCATGCCTTGGGGATCAGCTGGTCCAAACTATCTGACATACAGCTTGCTTGGACAGTTACCATTTTATACCAGGCAAACCAAACTTATAAGCTTCTTGGCCAGGGACACTCTCTGATCTTTCTTTGCACCTCTGCTGTGCACATAGGTGTTTAGTACGTGCTTGCTGGCTGATTAACGGGTGATGCCACACCTGCAAAGGAGCACAGGTGCGTGGATTCCGGCTAGACTGCTAGAGGGAGGCAGGCAGCACCTGGGGAAGATTTCATATATATGAAAATGACCATCCCCCCCCACTCCCAGTGGCTCCACCCCAGGCCACAAATGCTCACTTCCACTGGTCATATCACCACCCCCTTGGGGGATGGTAGGAGCTGGGCAAGGCTGATTTACTCCAGTGGCTTTGATTTCAAATAAAGTTGTTTCTAAACCATCCCAGAGAGAGGAGATTGGATTTCAGAGCAGGGTTTGTACCTTCACTCTCTGTAACCACCCGGTTTGGAGACTGAGCTCTAATTAATCCTTTCGTAAGGTATAAATCTATTTCCTTAAAGCATATGACCTGCAGAGAGCTCCATCATGCTGTAGGTATAAACAGAGGTGAGCGTGGGGCCAAGGCCCTCTGGTTTTCTCTAGCCTTGGTGGCTTCTTTGACCTCCCCAGGGATTTCACAGGCCACAGCATTTCCTTACCAACCCCTAGGAACAGATTTTGGAAAGGCAAAGACAGCTGGCCCTAAGCCGCACAAGCGTACCTGGATAAAGTAGCTTTCAAATACCGCCGAGTTGGAGAACAAGTTGAATTCTGGAGAATGAATCAGTTGACAAAGAAGACCATCTTCCACCCCAAGTTCCACTCCAGGGCCTGGTTCCCTGGCCTCAGGTGGGAGGCCCCTGATTTTATTCATTGGTTCTTGGGGATAAAGGGCTGGGGGACATCTCTGGGGCTCCAGGCAGACCCAGCCCAACTCCAAGCTGTTGATGTTGGTGTGACCACTGCCCGCCCCCCACCCCAGCTCCTCCTCCCCTCCTTACTTGCGGGCTGTCCCCCAGGGCTGGGAGGCCTGTCAGCTCACAATGGCAGGAATGACATCAAGGAATGTGATGGCCAGCAGCAGGAAAGGAAAAATAGAAGAGGAGGGGGAGGAGAGAGGATACACAGGGCTCTTTTCTTCCCTTTTCTACCAGTTACAAACCAGCAGTAATGCAGCCTATCCCACTTTTCAAGCGGTCAATCTTACCTCCAGATGGGAAAAATGACCCTCTCCAGTTGTGCCGAGGCAGCAGGGAGTCTGCCGGAACGCTAAGGAAGGCTCTCAGGAAGCACACAGGCTCTAATCTCCCCTCACAGCGAAGCCTCTCGTAAGACTTCCTCTGTAAGTTAAATGTGACTTGTTCACCTAAAGCCAGGCCCTGACCGGCCCAGAGAGTCTCAGGGCAGGGGAAAGGGAGTTCCTCTTCCCTACATCATCTCATGAGATAAAATAAGAATTTTATTTTCAAATACCAGGATGTTAACAAACCAAAAGGCTTATTTATATGGAAACAGTCGGCAAAGGAGGAGGTAGTAGCACAGCGGTATGCTGCAGCCAGCTTCGAACGGGTCCTGAGAGCTGGTTGATAACGTTTCAGGAATTTTACAAGCCAGTTGTTAAACACAACCGTTATGAAAATATAAATGCTATGAACTTACGGTGAAATCACATATCAAAAACAAAGGTAATAAATCAATTTCTTAATTATTTTACTACTTCTTAATTTACTACTCTATATTCTCGAGATTTTTGCATCTATTGTAGCTACACTGTAGAAACGGCGTATAACGGTGTGCTACTGTGTGTCTGCACAGCATGTGTTCGGGAACCTCGTGGTGGCAGCTAGCTTGAAACATCAGCCGTGTTGGGAGTTATTTACACCATGGGAATCAGCAAATGCCAGAAATCAGGGCGTGCTTTATTGTTTTGTTGATTGTCTAGACTAAAGTGACAGAGAAAATGTTAATGATGCAGATTAAACTCGAAAGTGTGTCTGTAGCTATTATATTGTGGGCACAGAAAAATCTGAGGAAATTGTCTTCCAGTATTAGACTATTATCTAATTTAGCAAAGAAGTTGCTCATGACATTGACAAATGAATAAAGTTCCAACATACAACTTTGTTATTTCATTTTCACCTTGCTCGTTAGTATAAATGAAAATATCAACCAATATTCATGTCAGAACTACACTTGTTTGTCAGTTGCAATCACGGGTTGGCTAGGAATACAAGAGTTTGACAAAAGTCAACAAAAGCTTTCTGTGAGAATCCATTGGCCTCGTGAGATTTACAATAAAGAGTAATGTATATTTTATTGTTATTTATTGTCTGAGTGTGCCATACATAATTATATCAGTAAAATTTATTCAGAGAAAACATATATACTTATATGTATGCACATATAATATATATTAAATATATATATAATGTTTTTATATATAATGTTTTTTTCCCCCAGGAAAGCTGGTTGTTAAACATTTACTAGTGTACCATTATAACGGCACCAACTTGTCCCCTTTTCCTGCTATCTCCTATCTTGTAACAGGACAAGAAGCTTTCATCCGAGGACTTGTTCTTCAAGTTGCACGAAGTTGCGGAGGGATTAGGTATTAGTTAATCTTCCCAGACTATGGCTGGACAGCTACCAGTCTTTCTCACCTTGGTACTTACTCAAGGAGCAAGCCAAGGGATTGAGTCCGTTCTTTTAAACTCTCAAGACACACACTGCTGCGGTCCTGCCCGTGATTAGGGTTAAATCTCCTGGTACTTCTCTTATCCTCAGGAGGAACACCCACTTCTCATTGGTGTTTCCCCAAAGCTGTAACATTGGAAACAGGAGCTTAGATCTCATTGGCTTATTTCTTCCTAAGATTCGCTCATTAGAAGAGGAAACTGACTTTTATTTATTTATTTTTTAGTGATCCAAACATCCTAACACTAGAAATTCAAATCTTCAAAGTTGTTACTTTTGCTTTCTTATCACAGTACTCCCTATTCATGACACTTTCACCCTCCTTTCCTTGTAAAAGAAATAGGAAGGTTTTTTTACAATGTTTGTAGCGTATAAACCAAAATTTTAAATGACAATGAGAACATCAGCTACCCCATGTGCTAGAGTACCTCACTTACTTCTGAAGTAGGCTTTCATTTTAAGTAAGTAGAAGTATATTTATTGCAACATTATTTGCAATAACCAGAGACCGGAGACAACTTAAATTCCATCAAAAGGGCACAAATTAAATAAATTATGATATATCGATTGGATGTAATGCTATTCAGCCATTAATAAAAAGTCTACTTTACATGTACTGATACAGAATGATCACAAAGATTTATTAAGTTAAAAAAAGATGCAGAACATTACATATAATGTGCTATCACTTGAGTAAAAAGAAAAAAAGGATATATACTCATATATGCTTGAACATGCACAATTTCTAGAAGGATAAAAATGAAATGCTAACAGGGGTAGCCTTAGGAGGGAAGGTAACTTCAGTGAAAAAAAAGACACAGTATACTTTTTATACTGTTTGACTTATTTACCATGAGAATCAATTTCTTATTTAAATAAATAAACTTCAAAATCAAAAGTTCAAAAGAACTTCCCTATATACAGCTCTATAAGTATTTACTGAGAAGCAAATATGCAACAAGCTATGACAGGTATCGGAAAAATCATTACTAAATTTAAAACTGGTCTGATCAGAGTTGTGGACATATGGGTAGGGCTCTCTTGGAGATAATGGTTTACTTCCGAAGGTAGAGATATATATTTGAAGAAATATGGCTGGAAAATTTCCAAATAGAGTGAAAACTATAAGCCCACAAGTCCACAAAGCTCAATAAATTCCAAGCAGGATAAACACAAAGAAAACTCCACAAGACACATCATAATCAAATTGCTGAAAATCAATGATTAAGAGATAACCATAAAAAAATCCAGATAAAAACACATTACATATAGGGAAGAGAGAGAAGAATTACAGCAGACTTCTTGTTCCAACTATTCAAGCCAGAAGACATTGAAATAGCATCTTAAAATTGCTAATAGAAAAAATTGTCAACCCAGAGTTCTATACCCAGTGAAAATGTCCTTCAAAAATAAGGGTGAAGTAAAGAATTTTTAAGACAAATGAAAGCTGAGAAAAATTGTTTCCAGGAGGCCTGAATTACAAGAAACAATGAGAGAAGTTCTTCAGGAGGAAGGAAAATAATATCAGATGGCAACTTGAATCTACATCTACACAAAGAATAAGAGCACTAGAAAATTTAAATACATGAGATATATAAAAGTATTTTTATATAAATAATTTTTAAAGTTCTTTAAATATTAATATTTTTTAAAATTATAACAATGTAATATGTAATGTCAGGTTTAGAACATATGTAGAAGTAAATATGCGACAGGAATGGCACAAAGGATGGGAGGAGAAAAATCTTATGGGTTTTAAATGTATAATAAGGCCGGGCGTGGTGGCTCATGCCTGAAATCCTAGCACTCTGGGAGGCCGAGGCGGGAGGGTCCCTTGAGCTCAGGAGTTTGAGATCAGCCTGAGCGAGATCTTATCTCTATTAAAAATAGAAAAATTAGCCAGGCATGGTGGCATGCACCTGTAGTCCTAGTTACTTGGGAGTCCGAGGCAGGAGGATGGCTTGAGCCTAGGAGTTTGAGGTTGCAGTGAGCTATGATGACGCTACTGCACTCTATGTAGGGCGACAGAGCTAGACTGTCTAAAAAAAAGGTAAAATAAGGACATAGTTTCAGCAACTTTATGTCAATAAAGTTGCCAACTTATTAAATATCATGTTCAAATGCCATCACATAGAAATGCCATACATGCCATACAAATGCCATCACATAGAAATTACTAAACCTGACTCAGGAAAAAAATTTTAACTGACTTTTTAAAACTGACTTTGGAAAAATTGAATATATATGTATATTCATACAAGAAGCTGAATTTGTAATATCTCCTCACAAATGAAACTCCAGGCCCATATGGCTTTACCAGAGAAGTCTTTCAAACGTTTAAGGAATAAATAGTAACAATTTTATACAAACTCAGGAAATGAAGTAGGAAACAGTTCCCAACTCATTTTATGAATTCTGCATTACCAAAACCAGACAGAGACAATGCAAGAAAAGACAGCAAGACCATAGATCAGCGTTACTCAAGAACATAGATACAAATTTCGTTATCAACAACAAAAAGAGAGATAGAGTTTGCTCATGGACTGGAAGATTCGATATTAAGATTTCAATTCTCAGCTGGGTGGAGTGGCTCATGCCTGTAATCCCAGCACTTCGGGAGGCTGGGGCGGGGGGATTGCTTGAGGCTGAGAGTTTGAAAGCAGCCTGGGCAATACAGTGAGACCCCCTTCTCTACAAAAATTTTTTTTTAAAATTGCCTGGGCATGGTGGCGCATGCCTGTGCTCCCAACTACTCCAGAGGCCAAGGCAGCAAGATGGCTTGAGCCCAGGAGTTTGAGGTTACAGTGAACTATGATCCCACCACTGCACTCCAGCCTGGGCGACAGACTAGGAACTTGTCTCAAAACCAAACAAACAAAAGATGTAAATTGTCCCCCAAATTGATCTATAGATTCAATAAAATCCCAATGAAAATTCCAGAAGCCTTTTAAAAATAGGAATTGAAAAAGGAAAAGACAGATTACAGGTATTTTTGAATAAAATTAAAAAAAAAATTTAAGACAGAGTCTTGCTTTGTTGCCCAGGCTGGAGTGTAGTGGCATCATCATAACTCACTGTAATCTCGAACTCCTGGGCTCAAGTGATCCCCCTGCCTCAGCCTCCCAAGTAGCTGGGACTATAGGTGAGCACTACCATGCCCAGCTAATTGTTTTATTCTTT